AAGTTTGGTTGAATCAGTTATTGAATATGTAAAGGGAGAAAAAGTATAGAGTTTTTAATAGGAACATGCCAATGAGTGTAGCTACTAGCTGCAGTCATTACTTTGATTTCCTCTAGTGTGAGATTTCGTTATTTTCTTTTCATTCAATTAGTATTTAATAAAATTTGTGTTGGAAAGGGTGGTATTGATGAGGCTGAAGATCCAAGAACTGCAGCCATGAGGGAATTAAGAGAAGAGACAGGAGTTAATTCAGCAGAAATTCTTGCAGAGGTAGGACTTTTCTGCTGCTACACTTGTATTTCCATTCCTGTTTTCATGTTTTTGCAACATTACACCAAACATTTTTTAGCCTGCCTTTTGTTGAGTAAGTATGAGAGAATGCAAGAAGATATGCTAATCGAGTTGTATGTCTTTGTTGGAATTTTGTTGGTTGTTTTCATTTGGTTATCAGGCACCAATAAAGTCTGGTGAAGAAAACATTAAACTTAGCAGTTAAAAGGGAAAGCATTAGAAAACCTGGACTAAGTGGTCTACAGGAATGAGCTTAGATCTGCTAATTACCATGTTGGTGTTTGGATAAAGCAACAACATTTATATTTCATAGATGCAAATACGAGCGGTAAGTGGAAATCCAACTATAGTTAGCAGATGTGGAAAAAAAAAAATTGTTGAAGTTAAAACTCTGAAAGAAAGAGATGTTTGACCAATGACCCTGCAAACTTCTGCTCTGGTAGTTCTTCAATTTTCTGTCCAAAGCCCACATATGAAACTGATTAGTTATACTAGGCCTAGGTATTTCTTGTAGAATGCTTTCCACATTTTCTTTCTCCAATTCTTACACAATTTTGCACTCTAAATTTAGCCTTGGTAGAATCACTAAACTAGATAGTATATGTATATTATCCCTTCAACAATTCAAATCATTAAACTGGAGATTGTTAGATAGAGTCACAGAATTCATTGAATCTCCCTTCTCTTGTTCCTACTATTCCAGAATTTTATGGTTCACACTCTATTCCATTATTCATAAAACAAATTTGCAGTTTTATAGTGAAAGCACTATAAGTTCATGTTAGTTACATTAGCAATTAACACATTATATATAAACAAAATTTGTTTAAAATTAATAACCTTAAAAGGTTAAATTTAATCAATTACAAAGGGAATTTCTTTATTTTTGGTTGGTGTTAGCAATCATGGCATCTTGAAATATATTGTTGAACCCACCCTTAAAATTGGCTGTTCCGTGGTTAGATATGGAAGTTCTAATGAATGAATGCCTTGTCGAATTTCCAATATTTTATTAGGCTTCATAAGTAGTTAAAAGGGAATATTTAATTGCCGCAGATTTTTTTCCTCTTTTCTAATCTGGGCTCTATATAAATTCCTTGTCTAATCTGATATCCTTTAGCTCACCTAGCTATTACATTATAACTCTCGACCACTCATTGTATTCCAACAAGCAATTGGAGCTAATGATGTAGTCGCCTTTCACATCATGAATTGTTTTAGTTTTTCTTTTACATTTTTTAATTGAATTAGGTCTTGTGTGAAGTTCAAATCCATATATAATCTTAAGATCTTGGGAATAAAATCTTATTTGTGCTAAGTGTGTCGCTTTCATTTTTATCTTTAATTCGTTTTCTCAGATTTTGATACACTAAATTTTTTGGTTCTGATAGATGTTATGGATTGCTTTTTTCTTTTTCTTTACATTATTGGCATAAAATAAATTATTATCGTGGGCATGGGTTGAGCCAATACTCTACTATGAATGGTTCTGGTGTGGGTAAGTAATGAGTATACTACAGTAGTTATCCATCTCACCCAACCTTCTATCATTGTTAACAGTCCAAAACGTTCTAATCTACAGCTAAATGCAGTGTTCTGGAACTTGTGGTTGGAGCGTAACAGAAGAATTTTTTAGGACTACGAGGGTGTGGGGGTGGCTGAGATGTGGGATAGAGTGAAGTTTTGGGCGGCGTTATGAGCTTTGGTTACTCCTGTTTTTAAGGATTTGGCTGTCTCTTCTACTATGTGAGATTTGTTAGCGGTTGTGAAGTGATGTGTTGCTCTTTTCTTTTTTCCTAGGTGGCCTTCTTGTTTGTTTTTGTCCTTCTTTCCTCTTTTTGTTTTGGTCTTGAGGTTGCTGTTTTCTTTTGTTTTTCTCTTGTGGATTCCTTATCACTTGCTTGTTTCTTTGTTTATCTCTTTCGATTTTATAAAGTTTCTATTTTTAAACAAAGGTCTACAGCTAAATGCATCTTAGTCCGATCAAGTGCCCTAAGCATCCTTGTTACACCTTTCCCTCCTCTGATTCTACCAATATCACTGAACTCCTTATCTCTATCACGATCTCAAACGTATTCTATTCCCTATTAGGAAGATCAGAGAGGAAGTCTTGGTCATAGAGGTAGGAAAAGAATGAGGGGGTCTTCGAGACTATGAATCCTTTCTTATTCACCCCCCCTGCCTTAAGGACACACCTAAGGATGGTACTTTGAATGAGTGTGATTTCTATGGGGGTGCATCTGGTTCCTTATTTTCTGGTTATTTAATCCACCTTTTTCTTGGAGGTATTGTAGTAATTCTGGTTTATACTATTAATAACATTCTAAGAGAAAATCAAGGTTGCAGATTTCATGATTTATTCTAGTATTCCTTTCCAACTACTTATGCAGTTAAACAAAATGCTTATTTGGCATTTTTAATGCCAATCCTATTCTTTATGAAAACATTCTCTCTCCTAACTAACACACTCCGTTTGTTTATGTTTGCATTAAGATAGAAAGAAATTGGAAATGCAGGATTTTTTTTTTTTTTTTTTTTTTTTTTTTTTTTTTTTTTTTTTTTTTTTTTTTTTTTTTTTTTTTTTTTTTTTTTTTTTTTTTTTTTTTTGGGTGTCCAACATGAGTTATTAACATGTTTGATTACTTTTATTTGTTTCTGTTTACTTTAGACACTCATTTGCAACTTATGTTTGTTATGTTTTTCTTTTTGTTACATCATGTTTTTATGCTTACATTACATGATTAATAGGTAATAAGTTGTTGTATATTATCTGGTGTGTTATAATGTCCTTTAGCTGTCTATTATCCGTACCTTTTCTGGTACATTTCCGTTTGTGGGAAAATGTTCAGTTATGATTATTTTTGGCTTTTGTCCTGTTCAGGTACCTTATTGGTTAACCTATGATTTCCCACCAGAAGTTCGGGCGAAACTTCAGCAACAATGGGGATCAGACTGGAAAGGCCAAGCACAGAAGTGGTTAGTGTCAGGATCACAATGCCTTGCATGTTGCGTAGGCTGCAAACTGTTTAATCCTTCTTCTGGGGACAATGTCTCTGTTCAGAAAAGAAAAATTACCTTCTAATGAATTTTATAATCAGTGGAGTTATAGTAATGAACATAAAAAGAAAAAGCTAAACAATAAATTCTTTATTTAGATTTAGAGTTTTGTCATTATATGCCAGTTTATAACCACAAGGCATCCCATCATCTTCATTTAACTATCAATATAAGTTTAATCGTTTAAGCATGCAATCAATGTAGCAATCATTCATTTGTGCATGAATTGGTGCTCAAGATTAGTGCGAAAATCATATTCTAAAGTTTTGCTTCTGCTTTTGCTTTCTTCTTTTTTAGGTAAGAGAATAACTTGTTGAAGTTTAGAGATGACATGCTCATATTCACATGGTCTTATTTACATAATTACATGTATGTGCAATTTCACAGGTTTCTTCTTAAGTTCACTGGGAAGGATGAAGAAATCAATCTTTTAGGTGATGGGAGTGAAAAACCTGAGTTTGGGGAGTGGTCATGGATGGCAGCAGAACAAATTATTGATCTTGTGGGTTAAAGTTAGAATACATATTGTTTGAATAGCAAACGTTATATATTATTATTTGAACATGTATTTATTATTATTATTTTTTGGTACAGGCTGTGGATTTCAAGAAGCCTGTCTACAAGGAAGTTCTTGCAGTTTTCGCACCCTATCTTCAATAACCTAGGGTTGAGGGACCCTGATTGAATGATTTGAGCAATGTTTTTTGCAAGTTTTTGCTAGGCATCTGTGATCTATCCGACCATAATGAAAAAAGCGAAAAACTGAGTTTTTGCTTGGCATCCGTGATCTATCTGACCATGTCAATAAGTACTTTTTTTTCTTTATAATGAATTCACTAAATCCTGAAAATGGGATATCTGACCATGTGTATAATATAACTGTTATTTGTTCCCACCCAGAAGAGTGCAAGAATTCTAAGTGCACATATGCACTTCCCCATTCTTACAAATTCTCATCTTGCAAAATGAAAGTTGTGTGGGTGTGCATGTGTGTTTTTTTTTGTTTTTTTCTAATGAAATGTTTTCAATTGAAAGGCAGGCTGAAGCCCTAGAACAAACAAACGAACTAACGGGGCACAGCCCTGAAAGGAACCTTTCTCAAACAGATGCAATCCAAGTGACTCCAAACCGATATTCTAACTACTCTAATGTAGTAGGAGAGGGATCGAACTCTGTTGCAAGGGGGTAAGCACACCGCCTTGAATAATTGGCCTAACCCACTGTCACCTTAATGCCAAGGTCGACTCAGATGCTAGCTGAGATAGTTGGAAGGGTCTGAAGTTACGTTCTCTGTATATTAGGAACATATTTATAAGAGCAACAATCTAATTCATTGCATGTGTTGGAAAACATGTTGAATTAATCAGTATTAATTCAAACACTGTAGCACTGACCCTTCAAATACAATCAAAATCTTGCCATAAAATACCAGACAGACTCATATTGTCTCGCTTTCTCACAACAATGCCTTGAAATTTTAGTATCCAATCAACTTAGAGAGGAGCTACATTTGAACGTTTTAAATTTGTCCTTGCTCCTCAACTTAATCAGGCTTGACAAAGCCATTTGTAAGCCTGAGCTTCATGATCAATACCTAGCCAAGCTCAAGCAAACTTAGAGCTTCTTGAGAT